ACCTTAATGTGGCTTGTCTCGATGCCCCAGTTCCGAAGAAATAATCCCTGACGTGAGCAAAACCGCCGGTCCGCACCACCCAAAAAGTCCAGGTGAGCGATTGAGTGCACGCCAACGGGAGATCTAAATAAATATTGTTACGTGCTTGATGGATCACTAGAGACACACAATTTTGCTTTTCAAAACTCACATGTTCAAACTCATTTTTGGCGCTCGTTCCCTCGTCGCCCAGCCATCCCCTTGAAAAAGTCTTCACCCGTCTCGCCCGCATCCTGGCATCTTCTGCGTCAGCCCGTAAAATTAGAATAAATATGCATCCAATCCAGATCAAAATTTTTTTAACTAATTTGTTTAAATCTCCAACCTACCTCAGCATCCAGCTGTGCCTGATCGACGATCGGTTTCTGATCCCCCTCATCCTCTTCCTCTCCGCCATCCTCTTGCCGCTTATGCCCAAGGCGCATTTCAAAATGTCTGTAAAGCTCAGGCGAGTTGCCTAAAATTTAAATAATTCGCAGCTTTTTAGTACACAAAGAGGGATGTCCAAAACATCCTTTTTAACTCGAAGGAGAAGGGTCAAATCGAGACCTGAGTCACCTTGTGGAGACCTTGAGCCAAACTAGCAGCCAGGAAACGCCAGAAGAATTTTACAAAGTAGCTGCTAAATATTCCCGTTTAATAAAAATATGGCTATGAAAATTATTGGAAATTCGTCGTTTAATGACCTTCAGTTTTGTAAAACTACAATGCCGATATGGACCCTCCCGACCGAGTTAAAGGGGTTGCTTTGGACACCTAGCTTCCCCTTCCTCACCTGGCCATAAAATCATCCAATGCAAATTGCCCACTTGCCTTTTTCGACATGTTTACAGCTTTTCAAGACTCGAAATCCCAAATTCAAGCTATTAGAAATACGAGCAGGCGTTCGTATCAAAGGTATCAAGGGGGGAAAAACGAGGTACTGAGTGTTGTCTCTCTCCCTCCCGGAAATCCTTCCGATCAGGGCAGGGGTCACGCCAGACACACACCAAAAAATATAGCGAACGGAAAATAGAAGATATTAGAGGGAGGGAACAGACACTGCCGCGAGGGATCCAATACAGGGGGAGGGGGGGCAGCAAGGCACTTTTTGATAAAACGGGGGGTGGGATACTACGCCACAAGTCAATGAACAGTCTTTCACATCACCCCATTCATCGCAGGTCTTCGCCCAATTCCCAGTTGCAACTCCCATCATTATAGTCCGGCGATGGGGAAGAGCGGATTTTGCTTCTTTTAAAGGGATTGCGAAGTGGAAGTTGGTAAATGAACACTGGCCGATGACAAAAAGGAAGCCATTTTCCTATGCCAATAAATTTTTAAGCCAACTAAATTTCGGGATACTGTTTTTTCAAAATTCGAAAAACTTCCGTATGTACCAAAATCGACAAATTTAGAAAACTACCAACAAATTAGGATGCAAAATTTTTTACAATCATGGTTTAAAGACACGGTGCCATTAGCTAGTCCATATTTCTAAATTAAAAAGTGTATTCATTCACTCTCTAATTTTTTTAAAGGGGTCGTAAAGCCAAATTGTCGAGGAAAAGTATCGACAACCTGAATGCCCTAGATATAAATTTAGACAATCATTTCTTTTGCGAAGGGATTTTAAAGATACGGTCCCAGTTGCATTTCTTTTTTGTTCTGTTTCCCATAATCCCAAGTTAAAAAAAATGCACTCACTCTCTCTCAACCTCCGATTCATCTTCAAAACTGGAAGAAGAGGAAGGCTCATCCGAAATATCGGAGTGGGGCAGCTCCTAAAAATATTCATAAAATAACTTATATAATAGAACCGCAAGATTCCCAAAACCTACTTTCGATAAGCGTTCAGTATCTATAATCGGCGTTGCTGCATGTTCAGCCAATTCATCACCATCAATCAGCAGTCCCTTCTTGTTCTGCCGGAAGTGGAAGGCCTTCTGATGAAAAATTCTGAATGGTTTCCTGGTCGCCGCATCCCCTGCTGGCATTTTTTCACCCTGGAATTTTTATATTGCAACCAAAATTTAAAAAGACTCAACAGGGAATGGAAAACGAGTTTTTGGGCCGAGGAACTAGATTTTTTCGGCTTATGCTTTTCCTCTTGCACTCGGCGACGGCTAAACAAGCATTGTTCATCTCAGATTTCACACTCCGATAAAAAATGATACGTCGTTAGGCGTGGAATCAGTGCAAGTGTCGGTGTGACTCGAAGGCACTAAACCCGCCAGAAAAAGCTGGTCGTAAAGCCGACGTGCGTGAATCACCGGAATAGACGTGGGGCCCCGTGCAAAGGCAGAACACAAATCAGAAGGGCATAGCCGGGGCTATTTTGGAAGTGGCCAGGCAGCACCAAATTTCAGAAGCCCTGCACCCCGTTTGTGATTGGTGTCGAGCCGCGAGGGGGATATCCCATAGCAACACGTCAACAATCCAGAACGGGCAAGGGGCAGGGGAAAACAAAAATACGACAATGAAAACAACAAAAAAAGCGTTAGCGCATCTAAGTGCTCCAGGAAAATTTTTGTTAAAGAAGCAGGCAAGGCATGGTTATGGATTTTTTTTGGTATGTGCCGTGGCGATGTTATTGGTTCGCGCAACCTGTGATTTTTTACAAGATTCCACAATGTTTTCCAAGAAATATGGATAATTGTTTTCCCAACTAAATTGTATCTAGTTTTAGTTTGTGCGAGATCCAAGTGAAGTTTTATGCCCACAAAGCAACCCTCCGGTATTTGGTCGTCTTACATCCAATCCGACCCAAAATTGGACCAGCGGCGTATCAGATGCTAAATAACCACAATCATCACTGACAGCCCCATAGCTACAGTAGTTTACGAGTTGCAGCAAAAATTAACTGTCTTATCAGCCTTTCATAAGGTCCTAATGGGAATAGGATCTATAGATCTGAAGTGAAACTGATGAGGCGACTTGGACATCTTTCCTGACAAAAACCCTCAGAATATGCGAATTTAAACGATTCTACAACGCAACGCTTCCATAAAAATTACACGCAATGAGGATTCATAATCGCAACTCGATTTAAATTGATGCAAAGTCCCAAACGATAACCTAAATGAATTTGGATAGAATACGACCAAATTCCGGGCGGTTGGGTTTTTAGAGCACCTTGTATAAAACACTAATAGCTACCAAAAATCCATAGTCATGCCTAGTCACCCTTAAAGTGATGAGCTCTGCTCTAGCCTTGGCAACTACTTTCAAGTAAAGTTCAGGCCCTACCCCAGTAAAACTGCGTCGTGTAGAGAAGCTCTAAACTTCCAATAAAATTGGAAGTCAGCAGAGAACCCCCAATATATACCCCGCGCACATACAAACAAACCTTTCGCAACGCGACCAAATGAACAGAGTCGACTTGAACGGGAACCAAAAGTTAAAACTGTTAGATGAATCATCTAACCGCCATCCGTGGTAAGCGTTGGGAAATGGAGAGGTGGGAAAGTTCTGGCATTGGGACAGTCTCGGACCCAACCCTCACACACACACAAGAAGGTGCAAATATTTGGTCATAAGCGTACGGTCTGGCTGTGGCCCCCTGCCCTGGTCCTTCATCTCTCTTTTTCTCTAATTCTCGGAGCTCTCGTCGGCTTTCTTTATCTCTATCTCTCTACTCACTGAATCCCAGGACATGTGTCTTTCTGGTAAAGCACACAAGAGCCTCCAAAAAATTGGTGCTAGACTTCGGTGCGCAGAAAAGCGCACAGATAGTGTGATAATGATTTTGACACATTCAAGGGATATACATCCATACTATTGACAACTACGAAATATATCTGCTTTCAGGTGGAGACGAGGGGGGCAGACCAGTTGGAGGAGGTCATTAGTCTCTATAGTAAAGATGTTCAACAGGGCATACGACAAAATAAAAAAAAAACGAAAAATTGCCCGGAAACTTTATTATCAAGTACACTTCCTGAGGATTGTAGCTGCAAAAATTTGTAATTCGATTCTAGATACAGTAAACCTTTCAGTTTGTGTCTCAAAAATAAAATTTATTTTATCGTTGCATTATTGAAAATTAGAATGTGACTGACATGATTAAATTAATGAAATAATATTTATGTAGCTGCTTTTAACGAAATATCATATTTTCCTACCATAAGCCTTCTGCATGTAAATTTACCCTCCTATTTTCGGTATTTTGGTCAATAGCTGGTCGTCCTCACCAGTTAAATAGTTGAAAAACCAGCATCACCGCAATTATATTAAAGAGATAAGGTATTACTATTTTTTTGATGATATAACCAATTTCTCGGACTTATAAGCTATATGATGAACCGATCTAAACATACGGCACCTGTCATGTGTAATATACCCTTCCAGCGGGCTCATAGCCGTGTGTGTTCATTTCCGTGTTTTTCCGCTCACTCCGATCAGACTGGCCGGCCATTCCTCAGCCTCCCCATCCCTTTAAAACGAAAACCCTCCCTCAGGGCGGCCACACGGTCAGTTGGTGCTTAAGAGCAATAGAAGAGGGAGAGAGAGAGTGAGACGGGGGATAGTGCTGTACGATGTGAAGAAGCCGGGCCAAGATCGGTCTCTAAAAGAACACTTCCCGCAACAAGACACCTCACACACTCCATACCACCTTTCGATTGCTCAGAAACACATTTGGCACCGCCGGCCAGTTGCTTTCTAAAAAATGCCCGAACGAGGATCAGCTGAACGTGAGTGGCTAATATTTTTTGTTACAGTAATCCGGGTCCGGCGTATCAACATTATTTTAGTTGAAAAATTGTAATTTTTCTATGCAGATTTACGCAATTTTAGGCATGGTTGCATTACGAAGAGGCTCCATCGAACAACATGTCACATCTGATTCGAAGAAACAGCTAGGCAGAGGCACTTCATATGAATTTAGCTCAGGTCGGTAATTTGCATATGCCAACCCACTTTCTTCTCGCTGTTATTTCACAACCGGTACATACAATTTATGACTATTTTTTGGGGGTTTATTGCGGTGGGACGAATGGGATGAAGGATTCAGCGCCATTTCCGGTGCATCCAGCTTCCCCGTATCCCGAGACATCCTTGTCGTAGTAGTGGAGATGGTCGTTGATGGACAGATCGGTTAGGTTTCCGTCCGAGCAGGACCTAAACGGATATAGGCGTTTAATGTAGTAATCAGAATTACTTACTTGCTGTCATCAGCCTCACACAACGTGTAGGTAGCTCCTGATCCCATATCTCCCTTGAAGAACACCTAAAAATGTAAGATTTAGTGCTTACTGTAAAGTGTTTTTACTCAACTTGGAGTTTCGATTCGGGACCAAGCGCATCTTGTGCAGAATTTTTCGCTGATTCCGAATATGTTTTCCAAATTTGCTACGGGCTTTTATTTAAAAAAATCATTTTTGGTAACAATTAAGCCGAAAAATGCCAAAAATTCAGACGCTGGCCCACTATTCCTTGTTTGGGCCTATGCTTCCCAGGGGCCGTGAAGTAGCCTCTGACACCACCCTTCCCAGTTGGCACCATGGTGCATTGGCAAAGTACTCGCTTGCCAAGCGCAGGGCGGCGGTTCGAACCCCCGCCCTGAATCATTTCTTTTGCTTTTTGCATAAAAATCTAATTTTTTTATTTAAAATGCTTGTTTTGAGCTGTAAGATGCTTGTCGAGCCAACGTCTAGTCAATTTTGACGTTGAAATTAATGAAGAAAATCGAAAACTATAACGATACCTTCATTTTGGTGAAAACTAGGGTCATAATTGTCGTATAACTTTCAGAATAACGGTCCGTAGCAAATTTGGAAAACATATTCGGAATCAGCGAAAAATTCTGCACAAGATGCGCTTGGTCCCGAATCGAAACTCCAAGTTGAGTAAAAACACTTTACAGTTAGTTTAGTCTAGATCGCTTAGGTTAAAGTCTACATTTTATGGGTTATACTTTAATTTTTAGACAAGGCCTGAAATTGGTTTAAATATGTCCTCACCTCGCTCATGTGATGCGAATAGCCCATCAGTTCCACGGGGACGTGAACCACCATATCATGAGAATGGGTGATTCGCAGGGTGTACGGTACCTAAATATAAATATTTTACGTTTGTTAGAGCGTTCCCTTACGTTGGTATCATGCCACTTGGCCCAGGCTGCATCACCAGTACGCGGTTGTCCAAGGGTGACCAACTAAAGTAAAGTTATTAGGGGAACATGCGGATGTCGATTAGCGGGTTTGGAAGCGGCCTGGAGCCGAAGCCTAAGCTTAATCCTTTGCTAAGCCTAAACCCAACCCTATTTGATGACTTTAATATTTCCACTCACTCGAATCAGCGCCTTCTCGTACAGTCCAGTAGCAGAGATGTAGGAAGCTGCCAGGGAAGCCATAGCTCCTCCAAGAGAATGGCCGGTGATCTAAAAATAATAATCTATGTATTTGAGTTAATTTTGATACGTAGAGCTGATAGTTGGGGTATTTGTTCTTCAACGTTATGAAGTCGTCCTTCATGCCGGCATTCCATACAGCCAGGAATGCTTGGTAGAAGTACTTGTTCACGTTGCCGCCGGCCACGAATGGGACCTAATTAGCATAAGTTATTTGGGTAACTTTTATGGGTTTAATATTAAGCCAGCGAATCCTGACTTAGAAATTAGCTCTGACCTTCTCGTGGAAGATACTCTGATCAGCCTCCTGTACAAGCTGTAGGAAAGCATTGGTCCCACGGAATGAGATGACAATAGCCTTCTGATTTGGTAGCACTGCTGTGAAGCCCGAGCAAGTATCCTTTTTCACCGAATCACAAGCAGTAGTGACTTGACGTTGAATCTAGGGCATTTTTTAGGATCCTGCGTTTTTGACCTACCGTTCCTTTGAACAGATTTGTCAGGCAAATCTGGGGGCTGGGAGAATATGCAGCGCCAGACAATGGCAACATAATACCCCGGGCAAGTTTATCATCGTAAGCCGTTCGATCCTGGAATTATGTACATACATTAATGGGCAACCAGTTTTGAAAAAGCCTTTTAACCAAGCCCAGTCTGTGACTTAAAAGCCCACACTTTTCTTCGCTCGTTCGAAATCCTGTCAAAAAATTAAAACGATCTCCATCTGCCGTCTTATATTAACTACCCCCCACTTATGGCGTATGTTAATTGCTTCCTAACGAGCGATAACCGTGATTCTCACAAAAAGTTAATTTTTAATAGCGAAAATTGGTGTGCTGCATTAACATACTCCTGGCTTGACGATGTCAAACGGCATTGACAAAGCCGTCGCAACAAGACCAAGTACACCCAAGGACCACCGCATGTCTGAAAACCGTTTTTTAATTGCTTTCAAGAACAATTTGAGACCCAAAAGAACAAGGAACAATGTCAAGACCCAATACTTTGGTCTCCCAGCATGGAAGCCATGTGGTAAAGTAGTGAAGAATGAATGGCATCGCAATTTCGGAGACCTAACCCGTGATACGGACCTAAAACGGAAAAGCTGACACCGCGTCAACCCGGATCAGACTGATAACGGCGGCTCCGGAACTGGACGGTTTAGCTCTCATCAAAAGAGTTGGTGGAAGATCAGACCAATAATCGGATTAGATCGCAGCGCATTTTTACGTCAAAAATGGGGTGTTTTTTCTTGATCATTCGATCAGGCGTAAAGTGTGATTAGGAGCGTAGCGTCGCCTCCATCTCCTAAACGAAAAAAGCTCGATTCAATTAGAGTAATTCCAGGTTCCCCAAAATCCACGAGCAATGCCGAGATGTTTACTTATGGCCGTCGGGACTCGCTTACGAGGACACGATTTCTATTAGTGAGAACGAGCTGCTCCTCCTCGAAAGAAGCCTTCCAAAGAGTCACTCTGCCTGGTGGATCTGACGTTGCGCAGTTGAAGTCAACGCTTCAGAAAGCCACAAGGTCGCCAACTCCCTGTACACATGTATACACATTACCACATATGGTATGGGTTTGTTACCTTGACTTTTTAGCACCATTTTCTCTCAATCTCTCCCTCCCTCTCTCTCTCTCTCGCTCTCTCTCTCTCCCTCTATTAAAGTCACAACTTTTTAAAGGAACTCGTCACTGACGTCAGTCAAATCATTCAATTCGCCGATTGCCAAAAAAGTCGTCGCCAGCTTCTCCGATGAAATCCCAGAGATGGAGGTGGTGAATGGACTAAAGGCAAGTGTCTGTCTGTCTGTCTGTCTGTCTTGCTGTCTTTTGTTTGTCCTCTTCTTCAGCCGTTCCTGCAATTAGCTCTCGCGTATATTTGTCCCTATCCTCCCCATCTCCTCTTTTCTTTCAGCCCATTCTCCGTACGCACCTCAAGCCAGGCAACCAGCGCTATTTTTTTACTTCACGCCTGCCTTTCGAAAGTTCAAGGCTTTGGGTGTCACAATCCCTTAAACTAGGTTTTCGAAAGTTTTTAGATGTTACATTGCTGCGGGATTTCGCATCAAAAGTAGAGAACCAAGAAATATCTTTAGATAAAAAATTTTAGTCCTAAATAAAACTTACATTTTTATTACTTAATCGATTCTGAAAGATAATTCTGGCCCCATGGTAAATTCCCTGTTATTCTATGTGTACCAAAACTTCCGCCTTCCATCTGCCGATCCGATTGACTAATTACTATGCCCTTCCGTTTTTCTGGCTCAGTCTGGGGCTCAAGACCAGGACGATCTGTTCGTAATCCTTCCCCCGGCCAGCTTTTGGTGTGTAAGAGTTGCGGGAAATGGCCAACCAACACCCAGTCGAGACCCCTGAGATCCCCTTCCCGTCGATAGTTCTACCTCGTAGCTACCTGAAAAATGCCGCCGATCCCTGAGGTCTCATCCCTAAATGATGTCACCCTAACGCAGGCCCCAGAATCGGCTGACCGCATTCGGAAGGTCGTGCTCAAGGCGCCGAGGCTGCGGACGGCTAAGCGATATGTAGTCGAAACAGCTTCTTCCTCGTCGGCTTCTTCTGATGATGAGGCTTCTGATTCTCAGTCGCATTCGGTCATCCGAAAGACGAAGGTAGTCATTAAGTAATACCAGAACCCGTTTAAAATGGAAAATTTAAACC